ACTTTTCGCCTGGCAGTGGCCCCAAATGCGTGTTTCCCTTGCGCCAGAGCCCCCGAGCGCCCCCTAGTGCGCCGGGTTCGGCCTGCAATCGCCGGGCACAAAAACGGGCCGAGCCGGCGAAATTCGGCGTCTTGGGGGCGCGACTGGGACGTTTTCTCGGCGCCGGCGCGAAAAATACGCCTGGGGAGGGCCTGTTGGGGGCGCGGCTGGAGATGCTCTTACAAATTGACTTGGAATGATAAGATATCTTTGTTGGGAGAAAATAAAACACAACACAACATGTATTTGCCTACCAAACAAGAATGAAAAGGAATTGTGCATGTTTTTGAATAAAAAAAAGAAAAGAAAACCAGACTTTTGCTAGGTTGGGTTGGGGTTGGATACTTGGAGTGTTGGACAGTGCAACCACCCTCACGCGCCCAGCACGTGCCCCCACCCCGGCCCCAAAATTCCCCAATCCGCCCAGCCCCCCGGTCTCCGCAGCTTCTCCGTACCCGCACCCGCACCACCAAATCCTCCTCGAATTCCGCCGATCCGGTCGGCCCCTCGTCGGAACCGCCCGCCCCGATCCCCGCCGCCGGTGGTCGAGGCGAATCGGCGGTCTGTCACCCGCCGCCCGCGCCGTCGCCGGCTCTACCAAGGTAATCTCTTCGCTCCGTACGGGGCTGATTCAGGGGCCCGTTTGTACAGATCGATGGGTAGTTTCACTGAATTAGCGGGGAATTTCATCGGAATCTTGCCGTCTTCGTTCGAGATTTCCGTTTTCCACGCCAGATTCTCCCGTGGACCGTGGAAAGGCGCGGTCTTCGCCGCTGATCTGCTCCCCTGTGTGGCCGATCTGATGAGCTTAGGTGCCGTATCGCGTGGCAATTAGATTGCTTTTCCAGCCCCAGATCAGTATGGTTTAGACTCCGCGGGTGCTAATTGCAAGATCAACTAAGGCTTCTAACCGTCAATCTATAGGTGCTGGGTCGATCTGTTGTTGTTAAGGAATGATGATGATACGTACGTTCTTGTATTGATATATGCAATTAGACAGCATGGAAAGCTCATGATGCCGTTTGCACGACAAATCGGTGTGCAAATCTGTGGACCTTTCGTTCTGATTTAGGCCGCTAGATTCACAAACCAGCAACGTTTAACCTCGTAGGGAGAATCCAGCATTTACCACGGTAGCCATGAGCCGTTTGTCAGGAGTTTCCCATAGGGATGCAAGTGGCTCGCTGCATGTCCTGCATCCTCATTCTACAGATTAGTGTTGGTTTTTGCGGCCATTAGCGCACTAATAGGAGTGTTTTGTGGGCCAAGCACACTTGCATCCCCAGTTTTCCACTTTGGACTAGTTTGCACTTATAATGTGTGTTGTAGCAAATGCTGAATTTTGCTGTTCGCTGCACAGAGAGGCCACTTTATTCAGTGCTGTTCACTTTGCCGCTAAGTTTGGCCGTTTACTAGTGGATCAGATTATCTTTGTTACTCTGTGCCACTTTTTAATTGGATGAAACCAGACTGCAAAATACTCTGTATAGTTATGTTATGTCTGCTATTGAACTATGCGATGCTTTGATCTTTCTGAGTTATTTTCTGCAAAATGGATCATCATCCATGTTTGTACTGTAAGTTCACTTGATTTACTTATATATTCCTTTGATTACCGAGAAGGGAATATGTCTTGCGTGCATTGAATCTTCGTTTCTAACCTGAACTTTCTTCTTTTCTTGATACAGGAGAAGATCCTTATGAGTTGGTTGGCTGTGAATTCATATAAATTCTGGTACTGTGAAAATGGGTCAAAAGGTGGCAGAAAGTTCGTGACGAGATTAACCATAGACGATTGAGGCCTGAGTGGATTTAGGTATTCTGTTGTGACAGCTGAAGTGGCTTTTCAACTTAAAGAAATTGCTGTTGCATTAGGCTATGCTCTTTACAGGCATGCGACTCTAGAATATTAAGTTTGCTTAATTTGGATTAGTACAGGAAGATTAGATACAGTGAGAAGGGAGCGCAGTCGTGATGGACAGAGCTGGAGGCAACCAAGCAGGCCAAGTGTCGAAGAAAGGAAAGAAGAAGCACGCGAAAGACGAGTCAGACCGGCAGAAGCAGGCTGAGAAGAAGAGGCGCCGGCTGGAGAAAGCGCTTGCAAACTCCGCCGCGATCATCTCAGAGCTGGAAAAGAAGCGGCAGCAGAAACAGGAGGAGCAGAGGAGGCTCGACGATGAAGGCGCCGCAATAGCCGAAGCGGTCGCCCTTCACGTGCTCATAGGTGAAGACTGTGATGAACCCCGCCAGCTGATGTGGAACGGCCATAGAGGCCGCGGCCATCGGGGTGATTTTGTGGATCACGAACCGACTCCAGGCGCGCAAGGAGCAGGAGGAGATGCCTATCCATATGGAAGCCGGTCACCGCTGGCACGGGCCTCTCGTCCCCACATGCCCCAGTGGAGGCTGACCGACTGTGGCATGTCCGGGCCGTTCTCGTTCTCATCGTGGGAGCGGATGGGCGATTTTGAGGGGCTATACTGCAAAGGGACACCCTGTCAGACAGATCAAGACACTTACTGCCACGGCCTCGTAGCAGCAACCCAAGCCGCCTCTCCATTCGGATACGGTTCGGAGGATCCATTCCCTGCCCATGGAACAGAGGGAGCTTCATCCATCAACATCATGCTGGGCGGTGGCACCAGCAACAGCCTGAACATCTACAGAAGACAATTCTAGATCATAGTTACTTTCTTTTTACACCAAAGGTCATCTTTTCATTTGCTGTGATACTTAGCTTTGCGCCGAGAAACCGAAAGTGGATATAGGGATATATAGGAGCCGTCTTACTGTCGAGTCGAAGAAGAAGCGGTGTGTATTTGGCGTCAGTTACAGAAAGTGTGTTTTTGTGATGAATTATTAAATATATGTTTTTGCTTTTACCTGAGGTTGATGTGCATGTGTAACTCAATTTGCACCAGATGGGGATGGGATTTGGTTGTGGGTAGTGCAGGTCGGTCACAAGTTGTTCTTGGTTTGGCTGGTCGCCACCTCAGTCTGTGTGGTGGTATTATTATTGTTGTTGTTCTTTTTGCAGTGTGAGATCTGAATGGTGTGAGTGTGTGTGCGTGTGGTACCAGTTGATCTTCTTTTTGCCCACCTTTTCTGTGGATTAGCCCATTGTGGATTGGATTGGATGGGGTCTCCCCAAACTTGGCACCACCATTGCTGTCATGAGCATGCATGCATGAAAAGTAAGTTGTGTCGCGCTTGTGTAAGACGAGCTGCAGTTGCATGCCTATCTGATTCTTATTGAGCATCAGAATTTAGAAGTAGGCCATCCATGTGTTTGCCATTACTGAATTTTGTTTGATTTTCTGAATTTTGTGTTGATCTGGAGAAGTGCTCGCCTTGTCTGCTCGATGTTCCGAAATTTGTTTGTTTTTTTTGGTTTTGGTTCTGCTGTACGCTTGTGATGTTAATGTGTAGTGCAAGTTATGTTTTTGCTGCGTACTACCTTCGAATTTGAACTATAACCATGACATTTATTTTGTACCGGAGGGAGTACTACATTGTGCACTACAATGTTTTCTTGAGAGCATGCAAATTGCATGTCTTAGCTTTATAAAAGGCCGAGGGTAAACTGCAAGAAAGACCGACAAGCTCCCACCATAACCCGGTGACAAGCAAATCCACTCCAACTCGAACGCACACAAAACAACCACAACGACATAAGAGCCTATCCTAAACCGACTAACAAAGCCACGTCTGAACCAGCACTGGTCATCGTCAAAGAGCAACAACTCCAAAGAGCTCTCCTTGTTGATGCACTAA